ATTATTTATTTTGTATAATAGACTTAATATTGTCAATCCTAGGTTGCATTTTATTTACACTTGCACTATGTAATTGTTTAAAATGTCTAGATTATATTTTAGGCCCTGAGTGGTGTGTATGATAAGCTATATATATTTATAGGGTCAAAATACTAATGCAAGTGAAGTAAAGTTGTTTTAAGCATGATGTGATCAATTTTTAATACAATGCAATGAAATTACCTCCCCTTTCTGTTTTTTGTATTAAAAAGGTTGAGGAGTAATTTTGTACTATACTGGTATTTGAGTAGATATGGTGTGTTGTATTAATAGTCCTAGGTCTAATGAATATGGTTTGAGTGTTAGGAATGCCTCTTGGCATCTGTTTTAGGTTTTGGACACCCCTTCTGATTGTGAAAGTTGTAAAAGTAGTAAAAATGTATTTAGGTGTCCAACTTCCTAGTGTGACTTGTTTTGGAAGTGAAACCCATGCCATTAGCTAAATTATGAAAAAGAGCTTTCTTTAAATACCTAGATCATGTCACTCAGACGTGAAACGAAGAAAAAGGGCACATCAGAAGTTGCTCAATTTTTTTATCAAATGACTGCAAAATTTATTGTCAAACGCATGCAACATGCCATGACACATGGAGAGCAACAAGCCACAGTGTAGAGTGCACAAGCTACAATGTATTGCTTTGTTTTTCAACAAACATGTTTTTCAACTGTTTTTAATTTCTTTTATTCCTCTAAGATATTCCACGCTTCCGTAACTTGATTTTTACTCTGACTAAAGAGTTAATAAATAGATTTAACTCAATTTGGATTATAAAAACTTGAAATCCAATTTTCTTAAATTACAACTTGGTAATCTAATTATGAGTTGATCTTATGATTACCATAGTATGTAGTTTTAAATGGCATTTGGATAAGGTGGTTATTTCAACTTGCTATCTGAATGTTTCAGCAAAACCATTAAAAACATCACCATCATTCATCTTATAATGTATTAAGGGCTTTTCCAAGGGTACCTAAATATCCCACCAGAAGCTAGTGTTTTTCCCATTATTGACTTTTTAGCTTACACCTTGAAGGAAAGTGTCCCAAACTTTAACAATGCTATTCCAGGTGTGAGAGGTAGGCTCTTTCTTTAACCACAATGGGTGTATTACCATTTTCACACTTGTATTTAGATCTTAAATAAGTCACCCAGAGGGCTTTAGAATCATTTAAAAGACCCCAACAAAGCTTCATTAGAAAACCTTGGTTTTTATTGTGGAGGTTCTTAATTCCAACAGCCCCTCTTTGCTTACTATCTTGGATAGTTTTCCAAGAAATCAAATGCATTTTCTTTTGATCATCCCTATTATTCAAAAAAAAAAAAAACTTCCAGCTGCATTTATCAATCTCATTTAGAATTCCTACAGGGATATGCATGGTTTGCGTAAGGTAGGAAGGAAGAGCAGAAACAATAGACTTAATAAGGACAGTTCTACCAGCCATTTTCAAGAAAGTACTTTTTCAAGATAATATCTAGAATGAACCTTTTGAATAAGAGGAAGAAACATGCCTTTTGAATAAGTATTTCTCAAGGTTAGATGTAAAGCCCACTCTAAGATTTTTCCTAATCTCAAGAACACTCTAATGATTCAGTCCTTTAGAGTAGAAAAGGTTGGTTTTTCCTAAATTCATTCTATGACCCAAAGCCAAACAAAAATCAGTTGTGACCTCTTTAATCAAGTTAATTTTCTCTATGGAAGCTTCAGAAAAGAGAATGAGGTCATCCGCAAAAAAAGAAAGATGAGAAATAAAGGGGCCGAAGTTAGACAATTGCAAGGGTTTCCATCTCCTTTTCACACAATGTTCATGTATCCTCATGCCTAACCTTTCTATACAAAGCACAAAAATATAGGGACTAAGAGGATCTCCTTGTCTAATTCCTCTTAAGGGTTGAAACACCTCATATTCCTCTCCATTCCATAAAATTTTCATTGAGTAGTAGTGATGCAATTCATGATGATATTGGTAAATTTAGGTTCCAGTCCTATACATTGAAGAGTCTGGGCTATAAATGTTTCATCAAGTCGGTCATAGAATTTTTCAAGGTCAATCTTTATAGCCATATAGCCTCCTTTTTCTAGACCACTTTGTATGAATAGCTTCCCGAGCAAGTTTGATATTACCACAACTTTGTCATCCTGCAATGAGGCTACACTGATAGGGCTGGATAAGAAAATCTTGATCACAATCTTTAAGCTAACATTGCATAAGGAGATGGATCTAAATTTTTTAAAACAACTAGGAGAGTCAACTTTTAGGATCAAATAGATATTGGTTGAATTAATCTCCTTAATCCTTGAAGAATTTGAAAAAAAGGCTCTTAACAAAACCACAAGCTTTTTCTCCAATCATATCCTAGTGAGTTTGGTAGAAATGTGCCTAAAGGGCATCACCTGCTTTTGCATATGCCTAATTCCTCGGCAGACAGTTTAGAAAAATTGGTTAGGATATTAATGTCTTCTAAGGTCATATTCTCCTTACTATACAGCTTCTTGAAAAAAGTGCTAGCCATGCTTTTAAGAATCATGTTATCCAAAATCCATTCACCTTCCTCATTTTCTAGAGTCTCTATTCTTTTCTTCTTTTAATAACAGTTGTAGCATGAAAGAAAAGGTGTTACGATCTTCTCATTTAAGCCATTTGCACCTCGACTTCTGGAACCAAATAAGTTCTTCTTGTGCTAGGAGTTTCTATAATCTCCCTAAAGTTTGAACTCCAATTTTCTTAAACCACTTCTATCATTAATAGTTCTCTCTCTATCAATTCCTTCAAGACACTTTAAGAGATTCAATTTCTTTTTAGGAATACTACCAAGAACGCGTTTATTCCACTCTGAAGCTTCAAAAGGAAACTATAGAGCACCATCTTCCGAATCTTTATCCCTCCAAACTTTCTTGACAACATCTTTAAAGCTATCCTCAAGGGACCAAGCAATATTATAAATTTGATCGATCGAGTTCGTCTTTCTTGACTTTCAGTCGCTTCAGTTACCAGCACAAGTCGATGGTCAGATTTGAAACTTAACAAATTCAAAGCCTTATATGAAGGAAATTTCTAAATCCAGTTAAAATTACAGAACATCCAATCCAATTTTTCTTTCACGCCATTTTTTTCCAAGCAAAATGGTCACCTGAGGTAGGGACACCCGCAAGACCAAAGTTAGAGAGACAATCATTAAAATTTGCCATGTTAGCCATTGGGATAGTAGACTGTTTCCCAAAGTTGGTGCCTATGATTTTCATGGGTTTCCCCATACACAAAAGAAACCAAGAAATTATCATTGGTAGAACATTCAAGATACTACAATAAGGCAATAGGGTATTAGACCAAAGGTAATCAATTTTAAAATCACATTCATTCCATAAGACCCAAATGCCTCTTGCAAATCTCGTAGCTTCCACTCTTAGCCAATTTGAAAAGCCAAGCTTCCTCATCACACAATCCGCTCTACGGCCACTAATTATAGTCTCTAGAACATAAAAAACATCTATCTTTCATGCCTTTACTATTCTCTGAAACAACACTATTTCTTTCTTCCTTTGTTTTTTTTTTTTGGGTCTATGACTTGAATAAGCCTAAATTATTTAAAAAAGGATAAGATTCAGATACTTAGCTTTATATACTTAATGTACTTATAATTTTATCCAATCAAATCAAAAGAAGTTAATTTTAATATGTTAATAACACCAACAAAAATAATTTGTTATAAAATAAATAATATATAAAAGAGACAAATATTTTGGTTTAATTAAAAACCAAGCCCATTAATTAAGTATATAACCAGGTTAAGTATAATTTAAAAAAAAATACACACCTCCCGGCAATAAGGCTATTCATTGTAATACAATTATACAACACGCATTGACATCGCCGAAAAAGAATTTGCCAGTTATTTGTACCATTAATGGAAATTACAACGTAGGCTCAAGTGCAGTCATGGTAGGGGTAAGGCCAACGGCCCAAATTAGATTTCGGCACTCTCAAAATGGGCTCTAGCCCAACTTGCCAATAAACATACACTGAGAATATCACTCAATAATTTTTTTAAAAAAAAAATATTACCAAAAACAAAAAAAAAAAAACTAGACCGAGAAAGGACAAAGGATCGGCGTGGCGATCAACAGCTGTTTAATTTACAGAGCAGAGTTGAGTTTAACGAAAGATGTTAGTTGCTTGTAATATAATAAATTAATATTCGAAATACTTATATTTAATATCTGACAATATCTCAAATAAAATTCACTTCCAATAAGAAGATATTTGCTGTGAGAAACAAAAAAAAATGTTTGATTTGACTTTAACCAATATTGATCTTGTAAAACAAAATAACAATGATAATAATAAACGATTAAAATATTCAAATTCAATATCGTCATGAAAATTCTTAAACCTTGTCAAGTTAGCCTCTAGTTCAATAAAAACTCTTGTCTAGATTTTGCGATGATAATCATATATCATCATTATCAATCACAGTTGGCGGCTTTAAGTTTATGCCTTTATATATTAGACAACCATAGGCAACGCACCTTATGAAAACTATATATATAATACATAATACATAACTTTCATAAATCTTGATAGGCCAAAAATATACGACACCTACAGATTTAAATCTTTTGAAGTTAAGATTGATGAATTTATATGAAGTTTTCCATTTTAAAAAAGAGCGAGAAGATTTTATATTTTATAAAAAATAATAAAATGAGCGAAAATAATAATAAAAGAAAACTTTATATAAATTCACTAATCTCAACTTCAGAGAATTTAAATCAACACCTACATAATACTAAAAAATACAAAATTAAAAACTAGAGAGCCGCGATCCATGCCAGTCCCCCCTCCCCCTGCCACACGGAGTAGACGAACACTATAATGAATTTCCCAAATGGATGCCACTCATTGAAGAGCATAATTTAGGACGACATTATGAAATGCATATAGTAGCTAGAGCTGCCTGGTGCTTAAACGGACATAGATGCACTTTCTCTCTCAACCTCAAACAAGTTCATAAGCACTGCGTCCGAGGCATTCCTTACCAGCTTCGACCAATCCCTGAAACGTCCATATATACTCAACTTATCATTAACTAAATCGCACATTGTCTAAGTCAACAGTTTTTTGGTGCACGAAGAAGCTAGAATCAGGTTCATCCTCTGGCGCATACATGTGCAATCAGTAAATAATTTTACATGGGTATATAAGGTTATGTATAGTAACATCTCAGTGAAGTTACTAGCTAGCCATGTCCTCATATGCCTAACTGATATAGGAGTTGATAAGAAAAGAGTGACTCCTAAATAACCAATCTCATACTAGATTAAATGTTGTGACTAATAGTTATAGAACACACACAATGTTTTTATCAATATATCGGTGTCCTTCAACTTTTTGTCTTGCCATTTAGTTCATGGATTCTGTTGGAATATCTGGATGTGATTGGTGTTTAATGATCACCTAGTTAGTTGATATTCCTAAATCTACATAAGGGGAAACATCATTGTGTTGAGTTAGGAAAATTGAATGTTATTCCTCAAGGTTAGTCCCCATAGTTTGGGGTTTGTATTTTCAGATTTCACCCTTAGGTTAAGGGATGAAGTGTTGTTAATCCTTCAAGTGAAGGATTATGATGTTGTAATGTTCAAACATAATCAACAATGATGTGCTCATTTTTCTTCTATCATCAAACATGTGTCTTAGAAGCCAATATATGATTATGTTAGAAGATCAGAAGAGATTGATTAGTGTACCCATTTAAGGAGTCGAAGGAGATTCCTCGAATACACTTAGCCTCCTCGAGTGCTAAACTGAACCTCCTGAGTTCTTGGAGAGTGAATCTTCTGGTGGGCTTGACCCGAAGCTGCGAGGGCTTGATGTCGTAGAAAACAGGGACCACTCTTTTCTTGGACTCTACGAGAAGAGCAAGCTCATGCAGACAGAAAAAGGAATCACAGTAAGCAGGGGAGAAGACAGCGACCCCGACCTTACACTCACCTATGGCCTTGTCTATATGATCCAACAATCTGTCTCCTGGTTTCATGTTCATTGTGTCTAAGAACGCTCTCACTCTCATCATTTTCAGGTTCTCATACAGCAACCCTACGATGGTTCTTGCCGTGTCAATCTTCCGGTGGTTCAGGAACACGTCGCATGCTGTTCGCGCAATTCTAGGGCACTGTTTGGCTACTAGTAATGATCGCTGCTGCATGGCTTGAGTTGCTGGGTTTTCTGTTCTGGTTTCTTATCAGTGGTGTATGTGTGTTTTTGTGTGTGTTTAAGGTTTCCTGATCGACGTAAAAGGAACGTCTATTTTGTTTTTCTATTCTTTATGGGCAAAGAAAGGAAATGTCCGTCGAAGTGAATGTTGACGAGTGACCAAATCAAGAATACTTGGTCCTTTGTCTTTGCACATGACAGAGAACTAAATAAGTTTTGGTTAATTAGTCTAATCGTTGTGTGGAGGTTACACTGCTGATGATCTTTTGGTTGGACATTTTCATTGTAATCAAATGTTCTGTCGGCCTTCTTCAAGTCAAAAAGTTGGTTTTGTTCGCCGCAATAATGTCTTTAAATTAATTAACTACGTCAATTAAATGTCTATTCTTAATTCTAGACAATTGGTTTTGCATGTGCTATGTAGGAGTATTATATACGTAGCTACTTTAATTTTGCAATGCAAGTGGGATCCATTTTTCCTTTTTGTTTTTATATATTGGGACTTTTATGGTGAACAGATCTTTGTTTGTCTATGTTTGTTATATTACCGTGTCAAAGATGAATACAATTTTCCTTTGATGTTCTAAAAATTTTACACTTTAAAACAGTCCCATAAAAGATAAAACTCGTGATTTCTTCGTCTTACAAATGAATATGAATGCATGCATGCTTGGGATAATATTCAGTTAAGATTTGGATCGTCTGTATCATCTGTCATTTCGTCTCGCCTCTCTATCACTTTATGATTGATCCCCTCTCTCTATCATTAACATTTTTCTCTCAATTCCTGATCTTATTTTAGTCAATTTTTCATTCCTTAACGTCAGCTTATTTCATTTCATTTATTTTCAACCCGAAAAAACAAGCACTTAGTCTATATATATATATATATATATAAAAGAAATAATTCAGCTTCTTAAATTCGTATTAGTTAGATTACATTATACTGTTTTATTTTGCATTGCTTTTCCTTGCGTTTAACTTTTAAAGCATTATATTAGTCTACATAAACTTTAATTAGTCGGCGGGGTCGATATGACTATCCAATTAAAATACATATCTCATCCGAGTAAAAAGTCATTAAACCTGACCTGTCCGTCAACATAACCGCGTTAATTAAGAATCCGCTCAAAACGTAACTTTAAGGTATTAAAAAGAAAATATATTATAGCAAAAATGATAATAAAATCCCTCTTAAATATATAAATAATAATGTGACCTCTCAAAATATCATAATTCTCCTGAAATTTTGAAAGACTTTTCTATTATTAATAAATTTATATAAATTATCAAATTATCCTTGTTGAAAATAAATGATTCACAAATTTTATTTAAATATTTACAACTTTTATTTTTTTATTCACAATAATGCAATAACAAAGCATAACTTCGCATATTAAATTTCTTATTTGCTATTGCATTATTACGAATATAAGAAAAAAAATTGTGAATATTAAAACAAAATTTATAAATTATTTATTTTTCAATTTGGGCAATTTGATAATTTATATAAATTCATTAATAACAGAAAAGTTTCTATAAACTTTAAAAAAATTATAACATTTTAAAGGATCAAATTATCATTTATATATTTTAAAAGAATTTTATTATCATTTTCTCTATATTATAACAGTTTTATATATTCTATAGTGACTTGCCCTGTGTGTGTTGGGGGGTGTTTGTTATGTGTTTAACTTTTTTTTTTTTACTTGCCTAAGATACCTCATAATCGACAGGCGTAAAACTAATCTCTCGATAAATCTAAACATCATTTAAAGAATTGTCCTCTTTCAAGTAATGTTTTTTTATACATTTCAAGAATTAAATCTTGAAATGATGCTTAAGATACCTAGACTGCTACCATCTAGGCAACATTTACTTGGTTATGTGTTTAATAACATTGTATGTTGGATTTTAGATAGAGGTGGGAAACGGGCGAGTCTAAGTCCATAAGAGCCAAGATCTTAAGCCTAGTTTTTCAAAAAGTATCTCATTTTTAAAGCTCGACCTTTATTTAAAAAGCTCAAGACTAAGCCCATAAACCCTTTATTATTATTTTTTATTTTTTGAAATTTTTAAAATTAAAAATTTAAATTATAATATTTCATATATTTTTAAAATACAAATTATAATATTAATAATTAAAAATAAATAATGGAAAATTAAATTTTAAAGTATAATCATATATTTTAAGTTTAAATTCAATTTAACAATAAAAATATTTTATTTTTTTGAGTTAAAATGAAAAAGGGCCCAAAAGGACTGCCCGAACCTAAGCCTATTTTTTCATGACCTATCAAGGCTAGATTTCAAAGCTTGATTTCTCTAAAAAATAATTTTTCTCAAACCTAAACTCTTATAAAAATATATTTAAATAGATAGTTTGTTAAGCCTGGTTCGTATATCCAGCTTTACTTTTTGATACAACTAGAAGTGGCCCACTATATTAATTGTAGAAGAAATTTAAATGGACACATGACATACCTCGGTAGCCCAAATTAAAAGCGAGCGCCATGCCACGTTTGAACAATATGACTTGTTAGCTTAGTCCTATATCCTCTGTTCCTTGTTATGAGGTGCTTTGGGGAAAAAAGATAATTGATTTTTTATTTCTAGTCACTTGATTTTAACCAAAAGATTATGGGCTCTTTCAAGTGTTTGGGTAATAACTCAAAAATAAAATAAAATTTTTGAGTCAAAAAATCAATTATATATGTATCCAAACATGCATTAAAAATTTTTTATATTTTTTTTAACATTTAACCTTTTAAAATATGTCTTATATTTTTTAATAAATGGAGTATTTGTTATTTGAAATCACATGATAAAGCTAAATGAAAAATATTCAGTTCAGGTTAACATGAGTGATATATATATATATATATATTATATTCTCATATAAACAATTAATGTGGATACAAAATAAACCTAGCTAATTAGAAAGTGTCTATATAGTGTATACTTACTCTTAGCATTCTAAAAAAAAATTAATCTCTACTCTAATCTATGATATTTCATTTATATATGCATATAAAAAAATTAAAAGGTTAAAAGAAAATTTAATTCTTAAACTATAAGTTCATGAACATTTAGAATTTTAAATTCGTTTTGGATACAATACCCTCTAACTTTTGAAAGCCATGCAATATCATCCATATCAATAACAGAAATTAACTTTGACATACTTAAATAGAAAAAAATAACCTAAAAATTAAAGACAATGATTCAAAAAATTATAAAAAAAAAGGCATAAGTAAATTTTTTTGCCGGAGATAAACACAGTGCATGGGATATTCTTGATTTTTATACAAAGTAATGTTAAATAAATATTAAAATAATGTACAGTATTCTAGTATATGTATAATCATTAAATAATTTTTATAAATATAATATATAATATGGATATTAAAACTTATCAGTTGTCGCCAACAATCATAGGTCCTAATGGAAGGTGATGAGGATCCTCTCCTCTATTCCATTCCCATCCTCTTTTCCTCCCCTTCCTTTTCTAGCCATTAAGATTAATATTTTGAATAGTTTGGATTCTAGACATTAAGATATGCATTTCTTAATATTATGATTATTATCTTCTTCTCCTTTGGATTATGGTTTCTTAGTAGCAAAGGCAATGAGAGATATGCCAATTTGCCTTTGAGAATAACAACAACAGCAATAATATGAATCTCTTTATAAACTGAGAATTAACATGATGATGATGATGACGAATCGTAGCCATACTAACAAATTAAAGATAGAAGTTTCTTTATCTGAGTTGCAGCTTTCTATTGCAATTAAGAGAGAAGAAGTGTTGAGAAAACATGACTATTCAAAGAGAAACCAACATATATGATCCTACAATGTAAAATAAATCCATTAATTAACCTCAAAGTTATGAGGAGAGCATTCTATCTCCCAAGCTCTCTACCTTGCCATATATTAAACATGAAACCACTATTACTTTCCTAAAAGAAATTCATTTTACTTGCAATATATATACATACATATACATATATATATATATATATATATATAGTAGAGATCAAGAGATATGAAGATTGTTAATGTTTTGCAAATTATCTTCAATTTTTATTATTTTTATTGTTAATTCAGGCATGGCCACTTTGTGTCATCCACCGTGATGGATGGTCAAAATTTTAAATTTACAATTCACATTCGCAAGCTACTAAACAAAGAAAGCAAGTAAAGAGAGCAACAGGAGAGAAAAAGGCTCTGTTAGGGCTTCCACTTTGAGACAACTTAGGATTGCTTTGAGCTTGGATTCACCTTGTTACATCTTCGCTAGTCTTTCTCTTTCTCTCTACATGTTTTAAAAGTAGAATGTGAGATTGGAAGAGCATGATTTTTGGACCTAAGGTTATGAGTATGAATCTATTGGTTTATATGGGACTAATGAGAATTGTTTAAGTATCTTCCGCCTAGATTACAAGTTTTTACAAGGTTGTGAGCTTGAGTCTTTCATTTTGGATGAACCTAGACCTCTAAAGGGTGATTTTGGATTGTTGAGCATCATATGAGTTGTTATTTGAGTTAATATGAACTAAATGAAGTTAGTGAAAGTTGATGAACTCAATAAATGTGAGATTATGCTTGTCGTCAAGAAGTTCAATTATTAGAAGTGGTGATTTTCATGATTATTAGTGATGGTTATTATTGATAGTTTTAGATTAACTTCATAAAGTATCAAAAAGCTCAAATCTAGCTAGGAAGCAAGTGGTATTGGGGGGTAACCTTTAAGTTCTCAAAGGTTTGAAATAACCAAGAGAATTTATTTCATATTATTTGCTTGTTAATTTAATTGTGGATGTTTGTGAACTTTGAAATTATATTCACATATCTCAATATATATATATATATATATGCCTAAATATTTTTTTTGTTTTGAAAATTATACAAGTATGGCTTTAAATATTGATCAAATATTATACTTTGAAACGACAAATAGTTGATAAATGATGATTTGAACTCCTTGAA